CACAAGACAGGAGGCAGGAGTAGCAGTATCAGAGAGAAAGAGACAGGGTACAGTCAGTGACAAAAGGTTTAACCCCTTAAGGACATATGATAGAAATTTTCCATCACGCTGGCCTTTAACTTCAAAAGCTGGGTCCTTAAAGGTTAAAGAGCGGGAGATGAGGAGATTGGGCATTGCAGTAGATTTCATGGTGTTACGGACTGAGTGTGCATTCCAAACGGCACAGTGAAAGGAATAGGATGTAGGGAAGAGGCAATATATAAGAGTTTATTGTGTTGGAACTGTAGGTAGAGTGAATAGCAGGGGGCAGGATTAGGAGACACAGTCCCAGCTGCTAAAAGCAAAAGGATAGTCAGAGAAAGAAGGTGAACATGGGACTTGAATGTATGTGGTGGATGTTGGGATTTAGAGGAGGGAGGGGAGGACAAACAGATGCGATATGGGAAGAAACAAGGGGTGAAGGAAGTATAGAAGGAGCAATAAAGATTGAGCCACATGGAGTTGGTGGGTGGAAGGAAATGTGTGCTTTTTGAATTTTTTTTTAAATGAAATAGAGTAAGAATAAGAACATTCGATAAACAACTGTATAATGACTGGGAAAGGAGGTATCCAGTAGATAATATCAGGGTCTTAGCCACAGGCAATTCATGAGTTGCATCCTCACTATACAATTTGTGAGTTCCATACTCACTATATACTGTCATGGTGCCAGACATTACTTGCAGTTGGATAGAAATGCAATTGCATCTCAAACCAATTCTTACCCCCTTGACGATTACCCAGCAATGTGTACAATGATATTACCAGGTAAGCCTTGAGAAATTTAGAAAAAAATAAATGGGCAGCGCTAAATAATGTAACGAGAGGCAGCACAACTAAAAAAGGGAGATTCCCTCTAAAAACCTTTCAGTACAAATAAAAGAAACAAAAAAGAGGGTGCACCAGAAACAAAACGTAAGGGCCAAAGTTTGGGGGATAAGATAGTAAAACAAGGGCGTTGACATTAAAACATGTAACAATAAAAAGGAAGATAAAACAAATATCCACAGAGAAATAGCAGCAGTCCCAAAATTATAGTCTTTATAATGTAGATTATGTAGAATAAGGGTATGGCTTCCTGAAAAACTTATGGGAAAGTGTCTTCTCCGTAAGGGTGTCTAATCGTAAAGCTGCTTGGAGTCATTAAAATTATATAGAAAGGAAAACAGAAAAAAACATCAATAGTGCAACAAGTCTTAAAGGCGTAGTGCAAGGATATATAAACGTGCCAATATACTCACATTGAGTAGGACTAACACCCGCTCTAGTGTGATGCGCGTAGAGCAGTGGCGGATCCAGAGCCTGATCTTGGGAGGGGCACTTGTAGATTATTTAAATAAATAATCCAGACACAATAACCACTACAGCTCAGTGTAGTGGTTATGGTGTCAATAGTGCCGGGACCCCCTCCCAGAGTAAGTAGTCAATAAGAACAGTTTGACACCTTACCTGAGGTCTGCAGGGAAATGGGGCAGTAGTAGGGCATAGGAGCAGTGGTGTGTGTGAGTGGTGCAATGTGTAAGGGGTGCAGTGTGTGTGTGTGTGTGTGTGTGAGGGGGACAGTGTGTGAGTAGTGTGTGTGTGAAGGTTGTAGTGTGTGTGAGGGCGGCAGTGTATGTGTGTAACAGTTGCAGTGTGTGTGTGTGAGTATTGCAGTGTATGTGTGTGTATGGGGCGGCAGTGTGTGTGTATGGGGAGCAGTGTGTGTGTATGGGGGGCAGTGTGTGTGTATGGGGAGCAGTGTGTGTGTGTGTATGGGGGGCAGTGTGTGTGTGGGGGACAGTGTGTGTGTATGGGGGCAGTGTGTGTATGGGGGGGGCAGTATGTGTGTATGGGGGGCAGTGTGTGTGTATGGGGCAGTGTGTGTAGCAGTATGGGGGGCAGTGTGTGTGTATGGGGGACAGTGTGTGTGTATGGGGCAGTGTGTGTGTGTATGGGGTAGTGTGTGTATGGGGGGCAATGTGTGTGTATGGGGGGGCAGTGTGTGTATGGGGGGTGTATGTGTATATAGTGTGTGATAAGGGTAGGGGGGGCTTTTTTTTGTAATATATGTATTTATTTTTTATTTAATTAAAATAAATATTCTATGTCCCCCCTCCCTTCTTACCTTTACTGGGAGGAGGGGGGACATATTTCGATCCCTGGTGGTCCCAGTGGAAATCCCTGGTGGTCCAGTGTGGAGAGTGAAGTCTAGCCCGCACTCCCGGGCTAGAGTTCACTCTCGCGAGATTTGGAGCGTTGCCGTGGTAACCTCGGCAATGCTCCAAATCTCACGAGAGGAGGACCCGGAGGAGCTGCAGCCTTAGCTTCCGGGTCCTCTCTCTCACTCCCTCCCTCCCCCGCCGGCCGCCAGCACAGTGCCTGCGGACCGGAGAGGGAGATCTCTGATCTCCCCCCGGTCCGCAGGCACATTGCAGGGCTAGCACCTGCATGTGCTGCTGACAGGGGAGGAAGAGGGAGACCGGCGGATTTCTCGGGGGGGGGAAGGGGCGGGGCAATTGCCCCGCTGCCCCCCCCGGATCCGCCACTGGCATAGAGTGGTATGAACTACACATGTAGGATGTAAATGAGAGATGTAATAGATGTCTCGGCAACAGGATGTACTTAGGACCAAGAATAAAAGGCAACAACAGTGCTCACTGTTTAAAAGCAATACCAGGAGTGAATATATATATAAAATGTACTCACATTTGTCTGAGTAGATAACTTGCACAATAATTATACCATGGGTGGTATAATCCCCACCTAGGATTCTTGGTGATATCCTCATTGGAGTAGTAAAAAGCAGGATGCTAGGCAATAAAAACAAAGAAAAAGGTACATGGCAGAATCACAGTATAAAGTAGCCAATTAACCTTTATTAGAAAACAAGTTAAAACACCCAAGTAGGACTTTATCAAGTGGTAATCAAAAAAAGGATTACATTCAATGCTGACATATGGTCTGTAGGGGTCACACTGTGATCTTTAAGGCGTTATGAGTATTGTCCTTAAAGAAGTTTGGTTCATTGATGTTCCTTTTCCTTACCCTAGTACACCCTAGTAAAGTTAAATATGTGTAATGGAGGCAAGTAAAAAACCCACTTGCCTTTAATGCACTTTCAAGTTACTGATCTGTATCCATATATCTACATGATATTCTCATGGTTCTTGGGCCACACAGAGGGTATAATTGAACTCTATCAGATGCAAACATAAACCATCTCAAATGCCGTATTTGAAACTAAAATGTAGTTGGCTCTCTAAATACTACTCTGAGAAAAGCAGCAATTGTAAAAACCTGGAGAAGAGAATCTTAAAAAAAGAGAAACAAGAATTTTGTTGTATCTTTGCATCCTTTTTCGTTTTTTATTCTGTAAAATGCATTAAATTGTGGGTCAAGCCTGGTATCTACTTATTTATTTATAAAAACAAAGAGAACGTTACCTGCGCTCTGGCCTAAATCCCTATGTACATTTAAACAAAATGGAGGCTATGTAGTTTTATTCCAATGGCCATTTGAATATAAGATCACCTGCCACATCAAGGCAAGCCCCAAAAGGTGAGTATTTTATAAACCCTTTCACAGTTAACCCTTTATAGGGCTTCTACACCTACAATAAACTTTGCTGGTATCAGTTAACGTGTAAACATCTCTAATGAGACATGAAAAAAGCAGGTTTTATAAACCCCTACATACTTATTAATCCAAAATAGGGCTATAAAACATACAAATCACCTTGCTGGTACCAGCTAAAAGGCAAATTTCTCTGTTGAGACAAGAAGGGGTGCTGCCCCTACATACTTATAAACTCTTAATAAGTCAAACATGGGGTGGCTGGCAGCAATGTAACATAGCTGTGTGATACAAACATCATATACAAACACAAAGATAAAGCACCGCCCTTACAGCAGCAGTAGCTTAGTTTCCAACAGCTCAAAATACATAGTAAAAACAAAGAGAATGTTACCTGCCTCTGGCCTAAATCCCTATGTAAATTTAAACAAAACGGAGGCTCTGTAGTCTACTGGCTAGAGTAGGACTCACCTTTTGGGGCTTGCCTTGACGTGGCAAGTGAGCTTATATTTAAATGGCCATTGGAATAAAACTAAAGCGCGTCCATTTTGTTTAAATGTACATAGGGATTTAGGCCAGAGCGCAGGTAACGTTCTCTTTGTTTTTACTATGTATTTTGAGCTATTAGATACTAAGCTACTGCTGCTGTAGGGGAATGCTTTATCTTTGTGTTTATTTATTTATAAGCTAAGGAAAATGGAATTGAAATAAAAATCTTTGTAATATTTAAAAAAAACAACAACAATTATTCATTTTGCAGCTCCTGTTCTAGTGGGACCTGGCTTTGTCCCGAAGACCACTGTCCTGGAACTTGCAATATAGAAGAGGGAATGTTTATGAAGTCTTTTGATGGTGTAACATTTGATTTCAATGGAAACTGTGATTATGTGCTATCACATGTACGTACAATTGTCTTTCCTATTGATTAAGATCCTATTGACTAAATTATGTAAATGTTATAAGTAACATTAGCAATAATGTCAACATGGTCAGAAATATTTATTGTTTGCACTTTTGCACTGTATTTAAGATGTTAGGAGCATTTTTGTTTAAATGTTTTTATTGCGTTCGTAAGAAAAACAGGTAGACTGCAAACATTAGTGCAGTTTCACACGTGCCTGAGTCAGCGGAAAACAAATATTATAATCCTTTATGCCTACTCCTTATTGATATATAACAGCTTCTAATAACCATAAATCGAGTAAGCATGTTTGTTGTACCTGGGTGATATGTGGAATAAGTGAACGTTTAGTTAGGATGTGCAACGATAGGTTGCTTGTGCTTGAGGGGAAAGTTCGCTATGCATGTAAAAATGCTTACACATCATTAAACTATAATATGGCAGAATGTATGCAATGTTTGTTAGGTGCTTTCTAATGTAGGCATTTACCTGGGTGTATTGGTAGCAACCTAGTAGTGGTAAGTCCTAGTGGGTGATAAGTGAGAAACGTACAACAATAGGTGTGACAAACTCCCCTTTTTCTGTGAGTTTGCCACGACTTCTTGGAGGGGCATGCTGGCCAGCATCTTGCTTCAAGATTATGGGCCCTGCAATACACCTTGCCCAATGCACTTTAAAAGGCTCTGTTCATGTGAAGTATGTACTTTTGTACTCCAGACAGAGAGACCGACCGTTTGCTCTAATTCTCTGGAACTGTTTTGGGCATGGGACCATGTGCACAGCCAGTCAAAAAGAGACTTCCATGAAACTTTTGAACCCCTGCTCTGATATGGGTGATTTTTGGATATGTTGTTCACCCAGATCAGGGCTATACGGGAATATTTTGGGGTACTTTCTGAACTTTCTGAAAATGTGTTTTTTCTGTCTGGAGATAATTGAGTTACAGGACTTCACTCAATTATCTCCCAAGCAGAGGGTAGGGATTGTGTGCTGTACATGGGCGTGTCACAGACTGTATGTTTGTTCTGATTGGTTTATGTCCTTTGTGTTCCTGTGCCCCATCAGGTCCAGGAGGTGTTCCTCTGGCCTGGAGAATTGTATAAAAGCCAACCTGAACAAACTTCATCAAGTTTCGGCTCATGTTTGGGGGATTGCTATAATTTTGGGGGATTGCTATAATCACTATACTCCCCTGAGTATAATCAATAAGCTCTGTAAGAGCTTGTTTCTGCTACGCTCTCTGAACTAAGGGAGGTCTACCCACTGGAAGCTGGATCCTGGTCATAGGTCCAGGGTGGGTAGGAGACGGCGAGATCCCAACCAAGCTGTGGCGGTTCGTGGGGTTTCCAGTAGTTATGGTGTTCCAGCGCAGTGCTTATGGTACTCATTAGTACTAGGAAGCAGCGATTGACAGAGGTACCCAGTCGGGGTGCCAGGCAGTCCATCACAATAGGGAACATATGTGGAGGTGTAAATTACTTCATACTGGCAATAACGTTCACACAATGCAAAAGTAGATTGAGTGATAACGCAGCACAACATTTATAACTCTGATTGTTTCTATCATCAGTGTCCTCTATCTTCTGGTTAGGAGGTTGTTCCCCTAGCCCAGTCTCTTCCTGTCTCTCATCTCTGTCTACCCGCCATCCGTATGTGGGACGCTTATGGTCTGCGAAGGAACTTGGGTAGTCCTACTGGGCTTCTGTGACAGTGTATGGTCCAGTGGTGCTCAGGGCAGTGACTGGGTTAGGAGGTGTTTGGGTGGGGAAGGTTGCACATAGGGTGTGGGAGGGGAGAGAGAAGAGGGAGAAGAAAAAAATAAAAATAATAAGGAGAGGTGGGGAAAGTGTTCATTGGCCCCCGCGGCTCTTCAGGACAGGTTTATTCTGTATCGTAAACGTGGGATCTTACTCCATGAGGAACTTCGTGCCCTTGGCTGACGTTAGGAATTTAAAGCCAGTAGAACCATTATTGGGTGTATCTCTCTCGATTTCTGGTAGAGATTAGTTTTCGGTCTTCAAACTGTCTCATGTCCTCAACCCCCTCCACTCATTTGCGCAGCAATTGTTATCTCCAGTGTATTGGAATCACTGCTTTTGCAACGTTCAGTAGGCGTGGAATCACAGATTAAGAGCATTTTTTAAACGGCTTTTAAGAGATTTATTTAAAGATTGTGAATTAATGTAACAAGCTGGAATGATCTCTCTATTATATTAGAAACAAAAAAACAACAACGAAATAGTAGCATTGTTTGCTATTAGAAACGTTTATTTCATGCTCCATGATAACTTTTTAAAGTAAACTAAACAACTTTTTCACTCGACCAGCAGGTCTGGTGAAAAAAAATCAGAGAGGATAGTGCCAGTCTATCCTGGGCATAAACCCTGTAGATTAGACAGCTACAAAATGGTGGAACACTAGGTTCCCAAAACTGGTAAATGTTGTGTACAGCATAAAATAAAGTATCATACAGTATAAGAGTGTAGCTGAGGGAGGGCTAAGACTAAAATCAGTAAATGTGTATCTAATCAGGCTATATTAAGTTGTGCCTCAGATACACAAACTGAAATAGACCAAATAAGAGATAGCAGATAAGGGGGAAGGAATCTCAGAGAGCAGTGGTAATGGTGGAAACTTGTTCTAATATTGCAGGAAGTAATCATATGGCCAGAGGCAACAAGATACTAGTGCTGTATGTATCTCCATTTGTCAAGCCTTGTTACAAGGTAAATAGAAGACTACTCTGACCCAAAGGAGAGTATAAATAGTGACAGCTAGCCAATACCTCAGCTGTTCTAAGAAAAACAACAGCCTACTACCAACACAGGACAGAAAATTAATACCTACTGTGGCGAAACCAACCTCGCCACTGTACACTGGAGAAGCCTGGTTGCTCGCCTGCTCCCTTTAGACTATGGCCCTGCAGTTCAGACCTGTTATTTTCCCTGCTGAAAGGTTTATTCATGCCTTTCTGCCAGGGTGTTCGGTAGATTCAATCTACCGAACAAACTACTGAACGATGGACCACCTGGGAACTGGAGTGTGCCATCAATTAACCGCCCAGAAGCTGCGGTTAACCGCAGCTTAATTGATGAACGCTGGGAGGCCTTTGTTCGGTTGCCGAACACGTGGCAGCTGCCATTTTACCTCCCGAACGGCCAGCGGTGTTCAGCGCTTAAACTATGGAACTGAAAACGGACACTTAATTGCGCGAACACCGATGAGCCGCCAGCCTCCTTCCCTTCCCATTCAAGAACGGAACTGAATGATTGTTCATTCGGTAGTTTAACCGGATGAACAGCATCACCCAGATAGCTAAGCCATGGAGCCTGTTCGTGTTATGAAAAGACTATGTGAAGGACTTTGGCTCCATGGCGATTGAACTGTATGTATGTGATCTGAGCGCCATTCGGTAATAATGTGCGTTCAGATCTGAGCTATCTGGGGATATGTAGAACGTATATGTTTTATGTACTGAATGTAACTGTAGGTAATTTTATGTCTTTTACTGTTTGTTTTCTGCCATGTGGTTAATGGAGTTTTGCCTCTGTCTTTGGAGATAATTGGATTACTTCCCAATTATCTCTAGGGCAGAGAGGAGGGATTGTGATGCATTATGGGATGGTTGAAATGTGTAAGTCTGTGATTGGTCCTTTTACCCTTTGTGTCCCAGTCTCCCATTTGTTCCCCTAGGGGAGTGTCCACCAGGTGGGAGACCTGCATAAAAGCCAGGCAGTTAGCCCCAGTAAATCAGTTCCTGCTTAACCCTCAAAGTGAAGTGTCGTCTCATTATTGGGGGAGGATTTACTGTATGCTGTTAGAGACTGATTGCCAGGAGTGTAAGCCGCTTGGGGGCTTTTCCTGTTCGTCTGCTAGCAGCTATTCGTGTGTCTCCAGTTCGGGAGTTTGGAGTGCTACTTGGTATGCAGATCGGGAGTTTCGAGTATTCCCTTGGTTGCAGTTCGGGATCTGGTGAATTCGTGGGTTTGCAGTTCGGGAGATTGGTGCTTGCAGTAGCTGTCTGTTCAGCTGAAAAAGGGGAATATCGCCTAAATGGTTTTTAACCTCTTGTGGGCAAAACGGTCCGTTACAATTGGTGGCAGCGGTGGGATCCAACCTTACAGCCGAAAAGCGTGGTTTGTGCAATTGAAACTGCAGAACAGGAAAAGGGAATGGCAATTCAAATGCAACAAAAGAACCGAACACAGAAGTGAATGGAGACGGATTATGCTACATTAAAACGGCAGACAATGAAAGAACTGCTGGAAGCGAGAGGACAAATAGCTAGCAACAAATCTAAAGCCATGCTGATCGCTGAACTGATGGAGGGCGACCGGGCTCACAACAGCACACCCCCAACAGCCAGGGAAGAAACCCCGTACCAAAGGGAACTGAAAACCCGGCTGGAGTTTTTACCGCAGCCAGTACCCCTGGATATCCTGACGGTCCTGATGGCTGATGTCCAGGAATATATGATGGCACAACACCACCAGGGTGCACCGTCCAGGGCAGAATCCATTACTGCCTCCATCTGCGGTCAGGTAAAACCAAAAATACCTTATCATGCCTTCAAAGTGTTCTGTGAGGAGAAGGATGAAATTGATGGATACTTGCAGGACTTTGAACGACTATGTGACCTGCACGACCTACAGCAGGCAGTGTGGGTGCCCCTACTAGCAGGAAAATTGGCAGGACGGGCAGCAGAGGCCTATCGCGCTGTCCCACCATGTAAGATATGCGCCAACTTATGCTGTTGGAACAATTTTTCAACGGACTATCCCCGGAAGCACAAGAATGGGTGAGAGATCGCAAACCTCTCACCTTACCTGAAGCCACCAGGTTGGCGGACCAACATTTTGATGCCAGGAGACATCATGGGCTGGTTAATAGGAGCTACCCGAGACTGCCTGTACAACCCAGCACGATAACCCCCGCCACCGTCAACCCCACTCCGTTTAGGCCGGCACAAGGGAACCCACCACCTCCCTCTCGCTACAATGGCAGATCCAATATTCAGTGCCATACCTGCCGACAGTGGGGGCATATGTCCAGAGAGTGTACCCAGAACCGGAGCAGACAAGCGTGGAACCAAGTGAGGCAGAACTCCACACCAAGGGCAGCGGCACATCACTACCAAGTGGAACCTGACACCCAAGAGTTGCTGAGCCTTCAGACAGAGGAACCCCTGGGCATTTTACACAAGGTGATGTCTGTACAGGCCACCGACAACCGGCAACATCATCGCCAAGTTGTGTTTGTGGGAGGCAAGGAAGTACAGGGGCTACGTGACTCGGGAGCCACATTGACCCTGGTGGCTCCACATTTGGTTCCGGATACCGCTCACACTGGCGGGTCTGTGGCAGTCCGGGTGGCAGAGGGAGCAATGTACCGCCTACCCACTGCAAAAGTACATTTGAACTGGGGTGCTGGGGAGGGGGTCGTGGAAGTGGCTATCATGAAGAAATTACCCGCGGATGTTGTATTGGGGAATGACTTGGGCCGGATGACTTCTGCATTTGTACCTCAGGCCCCACTCGGCAACAGGCTCGCACCACGGTTCCACCAACACACTCTGAGGCTCAGGTAAGAGACCATGACTTACCCTTGACCCTTATGACCTGGGACACACCGACCACCTTTGAAGCCGAGGTCCAGACAGACCCCACGTTACAGGTTTTTCCCGGGATAGAGTATGCACTGATCAGGCCGGGCTAGAGTGGGAGCGGTATATCTGGGAGAAAAGACTATTATACAGGGTAGCAGAGAGAGTGATAGGGGGCTCTGTCATGGTGAAAACCAAGCAGCTAGTAGTTCCCCAAAAATATAGACAGGAGCTTTTGAGGATAGCTCATGATATTCCTCTCTCTGGCCATTTGAGGATGACCCGTACCTGTTACCAGCTGACACACGCCTTCTTCTGGCCGGGAGTTTCCAAAGACGTGAGGCAATACTGCACCTCATGTGACATATGTCAGCGAGTAGGGAAGAGGGGGGACCGCCACAAAGCGAAACTATGCCCCCTGCCCATTACTGAGGAACCCTTTGGCCGTAGACATAGTAGGGCCACTACCTAAGCCTGGTCCCTCTGGGAAGTGGTATATCCTAACCATGGTGGACTACGCCACCAGGTACCCCGAAGCCATCGCTCTGCCCAACATTCACGCTGAAACAGTAGCGGAAGCCTTGATGAAAATCTTCTCTAGGGTATCTCTCAGGAGATAATCTCTGATAGGGGGACCCAATTCACAGCCGAGGTCACCCAGCAATTATGGAAGATATGTGGCATTAAGCTGATCGTCAACTCCGCATACCATCCCCAATCCAACGGGTTATGCGAAAGATTCAATGGTACCCTAAAGCAGATGCTCTGTACGTTTAGAGAGGCCCATAAAGACTGGGAACAATTCCTTCCCCATCTGCTATTTGCCTATAGGGAAGTACCCCAAGAATCAACCGGCTTTTCCCCATTTGAGTTGTTATTTGGGAGAAGAGTATGGGGACCGTTGGACCTAATTAGAGAGTATTGGGACAGAGAGTAGCGCAGATGGGACCCCTATTGTACCATATGTGCTGGCGTTCAGGGACCGCATGGAGGAGTTGACCCAGGCCGTCCGTACCGACCTCCAGGCGGCTCAGCAACGGCAGCGCCGCTGGTATGACAGGGGGGCCAGAGACCGTAGTTTTCAAATGGGACAGAAGGTGTTGATTTTAAAACCCGTCCGTACAGACAAACTGCAGGCCGTCTGGCAGGGCCCATACCAGGTGGTAGAGCAGAGATGCGACACCACCTATGTGATAGGCCCATGCTCCGGGGTAGGGAAGAGACACATGCTCCATGTGAACATGCTCAAACCCTACCACGAGAGAACCGAGGACGTGGCCGCCATATGCACGCCCGACTCGGAGGATCAGGAGAATCTGCCACTACCGGATCTGCTATAGCAGGACGAGCAAGCCGAGCCCTCCAAGGGGGTGCAACTGGGGGAGCGACCAAGCCCTCAAGAGCGAACCCAGGTACAGGAGTTGATAGAGGCTTAAGGTGCCACGTTCTCCAACTTGCCTGGGTACACTCTGCTGGCCACCCACTGAGTTGAGACCCCTGGACAGCTACCGATGCGGCAAACCCCATATCGGATTCCTGAATCCGTCAGGGAACACATGAGAAAAGAAATTGGGGAGATGTTGCAGTTAGGGGTTATCGAACACTCAGATAGCCCCTGGGCATCACCGGTAGTCCTGGTACCCAAAAAGGATGGTACAACCCGGTTTTGTGTGGACTACCGGAGGCTGAATGACAAAACGGTGTCTGATGCCTACCCGATGCCCCGGATAGACGAGCTGCTAGATAGGATGGCAAGAGGCCAGTATCTTACTACCATAGATTTATGTAAGGGATACTGGCAGATTCCACTAGCCGAGGATGCCATCCCCAAGTCGACGTTTGTCACCCTGTTTGGCCTGTGTCAGTTTAGGGTCATGCCATTCAGGATGAAGAACGCACCAGCAACCTTTCAGTGGATGGTAGATCGGCTACTGGATGGGTTCCAGGATTATGCATGCGCATACCTGGACGATATTGCCATATATAGCCAGACCTGGGCATAGCATCTACAACACATAGGGGCCGTAATAGATTGTATTAGAGAGGCAGGACTGACACTGAAGCCTAGCAAGTGTCACATAGGGATGGCCGAGGTGCAGTATTTAGGCCACCGGGTAGGAAGTGGGCAACAAAAACCTGAGCCAGCGAAAATTGAAGCTGTAGCTAAGTGGCCCACCCCTAGGACCAAGACCCAAGTCCTCGCTTTCCTGGGTACCGCCGGGTACTATAGAAAATTCGTGCCCAATTACAGTGCCCTGGCCAAACCCTTGACCGACCTGACGCGCAAGAACTTACCCCGACAGGTTGTCTGGGCCCCAGAGTGTGAACAGGCATTCCACCAACTTAAGACGGCTCTTACTAATGCACCTGTACTTGCTGCTCCTGATCCAACTAAACTTTTTCTTGTCCACACAGACCCTTTAATGTTTGGATTGGGAGCAGTACTGAGCCAAGTTGGAGCAGATTGCGGAGAACACCCTGTAGCTTATTTAGGCCGGAAGTTGTTACCCCGAGAAGTGAGCTACGCCGCCATCGAAAAAGAATGCCTGGCCGTGGTGTGGGCTCTGAAAAAGTTACAACCATACCTCTATGGGCAACCCTTTTCTTTGCTCACAGATCACAACCCGTTGGTGTGGCTAAACCATGTGGCTGGAGACAACGCCAGGCTGCTGCACTGGAGTTTGGCGCTGCAGCCTTTTGACTTTACAATCCATTATCGCCCTGGGAAGCAAAACGGTAACGCCGACAGGTTATCTAGACAAACTGACCTGGAGAAGTGATCTGTGAGCCCTCCTCCGGACATCCCCAAGCCGATCCGTTGGGATCAGACTGTGTATGCCGGTTTAGTTCTGGGGGAGCATTGTGGCAAACCTAGCCACTTGGACAATATACAGAGACTATGGCTTTAAGGGTTGCCTGTATGGTTTTGGTGATGTGTATGTTCCTGGGTGTAATGTACTGTGATTGTATAACCTTGTATTGCCTGCATTGGCTATCTGCCGAAAGCAGATAGCTGTATTTCGTTTCACGAACGGCACCTTTGCGGGCCGTTCGTGAACTTGAATAAACTATCCTGCAATAGCCCACACACTAAGAGACGTGTGGCGCTTGTTAACCGATTGCAACAATGTTGCAATCGGTAATTAGAGGCTCTCCTAGGTGACCGTCGTTCGACTACTGACCACGCGGCGGTCGGCCATCTTGGATCCTTCGTTCCTCCAGCGGTGTTTGGTCGTCGAGCGCGTGGTACTAAAAACGTCTACTCAACAGCGCGAACACCGCTGGACTTCCAGGCCATTCGGGAGTTCCGGGCCTTTCGGTATTTTATTCCCCATATGCCAATCGGTCTTTTGAATGCATGTTTAGGTGAATATGTTTTTCGTGCGACGTTCGGTTGTTTTAGCTGGGTTCAGAGCGGTAATCTCACGAATGATGCGCTCAGACCCCAGCTATCTACCGAATGTCCATTCGTGCAAATCAACCTAATATTCGAAAAGTTATGCATTTTAATATAAATTGCCATTTCTGCTGCACGGAGGGATAATCCACTTAACGGTACATTCCAGTGGGAGGATCCCTCTTGTGCAGCAGTGCCTGATGGGAGAAATGCTCTGTACTTTAAGTTCCCCAGGTAGTCCACTCCTGTAATACCCCTGGGATAGGACTCAGGAAACCCCTTGTATAAATTGTGGAGCCTGTGAATAAAGCCTCAGTTGACCCTCAGAACCGTGTTTCATCCGGTTATTGGGAGATTTGGGATATTGCCTTACTTTTCAGCGCTTGACTGTGGATTACCTTCTGAACCAGCGGAGATCGTGGGATTTAATATTGCCGCTCTGCTACACCTACAATAGAACATAACACCTCAGTTGCTGTGCTAATTTGGCAACTTACCAATACCAAAGAACTATACCCCTTACAGAACAGCTACCCCAGATTCTAAGAGAGCAGTGGTGATAGTAGAAACTGGTTCTTATATTGCAGGAAATAATCAAATAGCAAAAGGTAACAATGTACTAGTGCATAATACCTCAGTTGCTGTGCTATGCCAGCAATTTACCAATACCAAAGAACCATCCCCCTTACAGAACAGCAACCCAACTGACACTAATATATATATACAAAATCAAAAGTGCATAGTGCAAAGTGAAAATGAGAAAAAGGAAAGACAAGCTAGTGAGCCCAAATGGAAATTATTATACTCACCAGAACAAACACATTAAAGGATCACTATAGGGTCAGGAACACAAACATGTATTCCTGACTTTATAGTCTTAAAACCACCATCTAGTCCCCCTGCACCCCTCATGCCTCCATAAATATAGCAAAATCTTACTGTATTCAAGCCAGAAGCTGTAACTCTGCATGATGTTTGCTTCAAAAAACAAGCAGTCTGCTGACATCATGTCATCAAATGGTAGCCTGATCCAATCACAATGCTTCCCCATAGGATTGGCAGAGACTGACAAAGAGGCAGATCAGGGTCAGAGCCAGCATGATTCAAAAACAGCCCTGGCCAATCAGAATCTCCTCATAGAGATGAATTGAATCAATGAATCTCTATGAGGAATGTTCAGTGTCTGCATGCAGAGGGAGGAGACACTGAATGTATGGATGCATTTTAGGCAGCCATGACCCAGGAAGGATGTCAAACAGCTATCTGAGGAGTGGCCAGTGAAGTTATCACTAGGCTGTAATGTAAACACTGAGTTTTCTCTGAAAAGATAGTGTTTACAGCAACAAGTCTGAAGGTAATGATTCTACTCACCAGAACAAAAGCAATAAGCTGTATTTGTTCTGGTGACTATAGTGTCCCTTTAAGATGTAGTTGTTCTGGTGACTATAGTGTCCCTTTAATGTTTCTTATGTAAGCAGGCTCTCTCAATCACTATTCACTTTATTTGTAAACAAATATTTTTTCCCTCATTTTGTTTTTGTTTATTGAATTTTCCTAATATTATTAGTATTATTAAGTATTATTTTAATATATTATATTGTTAGCATTTCCCACTATCTGTGGTGCTCCTTCCCTTTTGGGGAGAACGCTTTGATTATTTACAGCAGTTGGTAATTATATTTCCCATGCAGAGCGAATAGGCTTGCTTGAAAAAAATTGCCTTTAAATTACTTGAACCCAGGGGCGGGCTGGGACAGGGATCAGGGATCAGGGAGGCAAATGCCCACCATCCCGCTCTAAATTATTTTAAAAACAGGCAAAGGCGGATCACTAATTAAGCAGTTTTGGTGGCCACCTAAGGCCTCGTGGTCGCCCAAACTGCCCGGGTAGACTGTGTTGGGTCCTTGGTCAGTGACCGAGGACCAGACACCAGGAGGGGGCCAGGCGGCTTGTTCAGTATCCCACCGGGTGCAAGGCCCCTCCAGGCTGCCCGAGAGCGCCCGTGGCCACTGGTCTGTAGCTCTGCAGTATGCAGAGCTGCAGATCTTGTGTCTCACGAGATCTGGCCAATCAGAGCGTTGCCACGGGTTACCACAGCAACGTTCTGACCGGGTCTCGCGAGATATGGTCTGCAGCTCTGCACCCTGTGGACCTGCAGACCGGATATCACCACCAGACCACCAAGGAGCCCACTGGACCACCAGGGAATGACAGAAGGTATGTAGTCTCCCCTTCCTCACACCATCACCTGCCCTCCCACACATTATTAGTCCCCTCCCTCTCACAATCACCCGTTCCCTCTCACCATCACCCCTTCCCTCTTACCATCACCCCCTCCATCTCACCATCAGCCCTCCCTCTAACCATCACCCCCTCCCTCTCATCATCACCCCCTCCCTCTCATCATCACCCCCTCCCTCTCACCATCACCCCCTCTCACCATCACCCCGTCCTTAACATCCTCACCCCCTAACTCACACCATTACCCCCTAACTATCACCCCCCTCACTCACACCATCAACCCCTTCACTCACACCATAGACCCCCCTCCCTCACACCAACACCACCCTATCTCACACTGTCCCATTACCACCCCTCCCTAACACCATCACCCCCTCTCACATCATCCCCCCTCACTATCACTCCCCTCCCGCTCACCATCACCCACCTTTCCTCATACCATCACCCCCTCCCTCATACCATCATCCCCTCCCTCATATCCCATCATCTCTACCTCCTACCATCACTTCCTCTCCCACTCACCATCATCCCCCTCACACTAACACCCCCTCCCTCACACCATTACCCCTCTCCCTCACACCATTGCCCCCACCCTCACACCATCAACCCTCTCCTTCATTGTGGCAAACCTATGACCACCACCCTACTTCACACCATTGCCACCCTGCCTTCGCACCATCACCCCCTCCCTCCCACCATCATCACCCCCCTCCCTCTCACCATCATCACCCCCCTCCCTCTCTCCATCATCACCCCTCTCCCTCATACCATCACCCCCAACCCTCTCACCATTACCACATGTCTCTCACACCATTACCAACCCTCCCTCACACCATCACCCCCCTTCCTCATACCAACATACCAACACCCTGTCCCTCATACCATCATCCCCTCCCTCATACCCCATCACCTCTCCCTCCTACCATCACTCCCTCCCACCTACCATCACTCCCTCTCACTATCACCCCACACAACATTACCCCCTACCTCCCCATTACCCCCTCAATCACACCATTGCCCCTAATTTAAGACTCTTGTTGTGGTAGTTTTTTTTCTTCTTTTAAATATAGTCTCCTCCTTTACTGTGTTGATTCCCTTTATGTATTTAAATGTTTCTATCATATCCCCCGTCTCGTCTTTCCTCCAAGCTATACATATTAAGTTCCTTTAACCTTTCATTGTAAGTTTTATCCTGCAATCCATGAACCAGTTTAGTAGCCCTTCTCTGAACTCTCTCTAAAGTATCAATATCCTTCTGGAGATACGGTCTCCAGTACTGCATACAATACTCTAAGTGAGGTCTCACAAGTGTTCTGTACAATGGCATGAGCACTTCCCTCTTTTTACTGCTAATACCTCTCCCTATACAACCAAGCCTTCTGCTAGCATTTCCTGCTGCTCTATTACATTGTCTGCCTACCTTTAAGTCATCAGAAATAATCACCCCTAAATCCCTTTCCTCATATGTTGAGGTTAGGACTCTATCAAATATTATGTACTCTGCTGTTGGGTTTTTACGTCCAAGATGCATTATCTTGCACTTATCCACATTAAATGTCAGTTGCCACAACACTGACCATTTTTCTAGTTTACCCAAATTATTTGCCATTTGGGTTATCCCTCCTGGAACATCAACCCTGTTACATCTTAGTATTATCAGCAAAAAGACATACCTTACCATCAAGACCTTCTGCAATATCACTAATAAAAATATTAAAGAGAATGGGTCCAAGTACAGATCCCTGAGGTACCCCACTGGTGACAAGCCCATGCTTCAAATATACTCCATTGACTACAACTACAACCCTCTGTTGCCTGTCACTCAGCTGCCTTACCCATTCAAAAATATTGGAATCCAAACTTAAAGATTGCAGTTTATTGATAAGCCTTTTATGTGCAACAGTGTCAAAAGCCTTACTGAAATCTAGGTAAGCAATGTGTACTGCACCACACTGATCTATTATTTTAGTTACCCAATCAAAAACAAACAATAAGATTAGTTTGGCTTGATCTCCCTGAAGTAAACCCATGTTGTCTCCGATCTTGAAATCCATGTGATTTTAGATGTTCAACAATCATATCCTTTCACATGATTTCCATTATTTTCCCTGCTACTTAAGTAAGGCTTACTGGCCTATAGTTGCCCGACTCCTCCCTACTACCTTTCTTGTGAATGGGCACAACATTCACTAACTTCCAATCTTCTGGGACTACTCCTGTTAACAATGATTGGTTAAATAAATCTGTTAATGATTTTGCTAGAAAATCCACAAATCTCTTTTAATAACTTTGGGTGTATTCCATCAGGTCCCATTGACATATTTGTAGTTACTTTTGACAGTTGAAATAGAACCTCTTCCTCTGTAAACTCGTATGTCACAAATTACTCATTTGTCCTTTTTTACTAACTGAGGCCCCTTTCCTTCATTTTCATCTGTAAATACTGAACAAAAATATTAATTGAGTCAGCTAGGCCTTTATCCTGTTCTACATATCTACATTCTTTTGTTTTTAATCTAACTAATCCTTGTTTTACTTTCCTTTTCTCATTTATGTATCTAAAAAATGTTTTGTCCACTTTTTTACCGACTGTGCTATTTTCCCTTCTGTGTGTGCTTATAACTTGCTTAGTCTCTTTCTGCCTAATCTTATACATCATTCTGTCTTCCTCACTCTGTTTTTTTTTTATAATTACTAAATGCTAACTTTTTGTTTTTTTTACTATTTTGGCCACATCTGCGGAGTAACACAGTGGTTTCTTGAATTTTTTGCTTTTACT